GCCCTGGTGAACAGAGCATCTCTGATTCCTTGCTGCACCCCCCCCAATGAATTCGTAGGCGGCCACGAGATCACCTCTCAGCCTTCTCTTGCGGAGGCTGAAGAGATCCAGGTCCCTTAGTCTTTCCTCATAGGGTTTGGCTTGTAAACCCTTAACCATACGAGTGGCCCTCCTCTGGATGCTCTCGAGGTTATCCACATCCTTCTTGAAGTATGGTGCCCAAAACCAGATGCAGTACTCCAACTGTGGTCTAACCAATGCTGCATAAAGGGCAAATATCACCTCCTTGGTTCTATTTGTCATGCATCTGCTGATGCATGATAAAGTATACTTAGCTTTGCTGATGATTTTGTCACACTGATGACTCATGTTCATCTTGGAGTCCACTATGATTCCAAGATCCCTTTCCACTTCTGTGCTGCTGAGAGGGTCACTTCCTAACCATTAAGTGTGCTGGATATTTTTACACCCTAGGTGCGGCACTCTGCACTTGTCCTTGTTGTACTGCATCCTATTGTGTTCTGCCCACTTTTTCAACCTGTCCAGGTCTACCTGCAATCGTTCCCTACCCTCCAGAGTGTACACTTCACCCCACAATTTAGTATTATCCACAAACTTGGACAGAGTACACTTCATGCCCACATTGAAGTCACTGATGAAGACACTGAAGAGTACAGGTCCAAGGACCAAGCCCTGCAGGACCCCACTACCCACAACCTTCTAGGTCGATACCGACCCATCTACTACCACTCTCTGGATGTGACCCCCACACCAGTTGCCACCCACTGGACCACATAAACATCTAAGTCACAGCCTCTTAATTGATTTATGAGAATGGGATGAGATACTGTATTTAAGGCCTTCCTAAAACCCAAGAAAACAACATCCACCTCTACTCCTGCATCTAAGCATTTTGTGACCTAGTCATAAAATGAAACCAGACTAGTCAGACATGATCTACTTGCTATGAATTCATGCTCGTTGCCCTGCTGCATTATCTTCCCCACTGGACTTGCACAAATACGATCCTTCATAATCTTTTCAAAGACTTTTCCAAGGATGGAGGTGATACTGACTGGCCTATAATTACTCAGATCCTCCTTCCTCTCCTTCTTGAAAATGGGGACCCCATTGGCCCTTTTCCAGTCCTCTGGGACCTGACCTGAGCACCACAAGCACTCAAACAGTCATGCCAGTGGTTCTGCTATGACACCGGCCAATTCGTGCAGTACTCTCAGATGCAGCTCATCCAGGCCTGCTGACTTAAGCACATCCAGTCCATCCAAGTGACTTTGCACCAAGTCAGCGTCCACAGTTGGTGGGCTGGTGTCCCTCTGATGCCCATCTAAAAACACATTAGAAAACTTATCTTGACCCTTGTTCAAGAACACTGAGGCAAAAAACTCATTGAATAGCTCAGCCTTGTCCCCCTTGTCTGTCACTAATTTCTCCTGCTTGTTCAGTAGGGGTCCAATGCTGCTCTGCATCTTCCTTTTACTCCCTACATAGCTGAAAAAATACTTTTTGTTGTCTTTAATTTGTGCTGCCAGCCTCAGCTCCATAGTTGCTCTGGCCTTTCTAACTGCCTCCCTGCAAGTGTGGGCCAAGTAGGTATACTCCTCTTTGGTATCTTCCCCCTGCTTCTACTGCCTATATGCCTCTTTTTTTTTTTTGCCCTTAGGCTTCCCTGGATTTCTCTGTTTAGCCAAAGAAGTTTTTTGGCCCCTTTCCCCCCTTTTCCTCACACTGGGATCATCTCCCTTTGTGCCTGAAGAATCGCTTCCTTCAGGAATGACCACCCTTCCTGGACTCCCATCTCGCCAGTACTCCTATCCTGCAGTGTGTTACTGATTAACCTCCTGAGCACACTGAAGTTGGCTTTCCTAAAGTCAGGCACTTCCATCCTACTAGTTACCTTACACACTCTACGCCGTATGGTGAATTTGACTGATTGGTGGTCACTGTCCCCAAGGTGACCACAAATCTGCAGCTCCCCTACCAGGTCTTCCCCCATAGCCAACACCAAGTCCAGTACAGGTTCTAGCAACTATATTCAGAGCTTGGTCTGGAGCAGTTTTGAGGTCCATTTCTAATAATTGCGTCATAATGGAAAACATTAATGATACCCTCATGCTTGCCCTGCTAACATGTACCACAGCATACTTTATGTCAACCCTGTATGTTTACAGCTGAAGTTGCAGTTCAGACTGTGCACCACACGGTGAAGGCGATAGGGCCGCAGAAGGTGGGAGAGTGCGGCAGGCGATCTGGATTGGGGGGGGCGCAATCCAAGCAGCACAAGGAGGCTAGGAGCCCTTCCCCACTTTGCCTCTTTTGCCTAAAGATAAACATTTACATATGTGCTTTGCTGAAACAGGAATTAAAACTATTATTCTTCAACAGTACACCCTAATGTGGATTTCTGACCTGTGTGGAGATCAGTGGGACTCTACAGAGGCATATGGAGGCATAGTAGTGAATCCCAGTGCACAGATGAGGTCTAAAAGGTCAAATGCTAATCTTCTGTACAAAACCTGGTCTCTTGTACAAGACTTTTAATACAACCTTCCTCTACTTGACCCAGGGCAGAGTACAGACAGCTGATATCAGACCTGGCAAATGGAAAGGTGAGAAGATAGGTTCATAGACCACTTCTAGATAGTTCTCTGGTATGTCCTTTGCCAACTAAGGAAATGGTGTGAGGTCCCAAAACACCCTGTAGGGATGATTCCCAATACCTGCATTCAAGTCCAGGTAGCTTTGGACCTGAAAGTGCTTTACAAAGGGAATTGACCTGATTTTGGTTTTACCTTCTGGCCAAAGAAATTGGCTGTACTGCAAAACTGGGCTCGTGATACGTTTCCTTTCTGATCTGGCTGCAGCATGAGGAATCGGCTCCAGCATCTCTGTACCTCTGCAACTGTCACTGTCCAGAAGAAAATAAGACAAAACACAGGTTTCAGGACTGTTTGTGACACCAGGAGAAATGCTAGAGATGAGCCTCAAAGCAACTCACTTTCTTTGATTAAACTAAAATACACTCCAATAAAAACTTTAACCAGTTTATTCTGAGAAGCAACAGTTTGAGAAAATGAGGAAGAGAATATATGTTGGGGAGCAACAGGCTACATAACTATTCACATACAAAGGAGCTCAATCTTTTAGGTAAATAATGGTAGAAATAGGGAAACTGGTATCACAAGACGCATCATGTGGGGTGGCATTTTTCAAAAGAGCCCTGCTTTGACCAAATTCAGACTGTCACTGAAGTCCATATTCAAGTCCCCTTGTTTCTAACTGGCATGGAGTTAAACCAATGCTGAGTGCTTTGGAAAATCCCACCCCTTTCACATTTGACTGCTGACAGTAGGAGTTGGATGACAATAATTAGTCCACATCCCAAATCTCTGCCTGTCACCTCTGTTGCAAAGAGCAAAGCTCTAAATGAAAAACCTATTACAGGTCAAAGAACAACAAGGGGGTGTCCATGATAATTGCCTGGATCATAAAAAAATTGTCTTTAGCAACAAATCTAATCTGTGAGCACTGTGGACATTTTGGTTATTTTGTCGAGGTCAGAAAAATTCTGACTCAGCTGCAAGAAGAGAAATAACTTGTTCAAACATCAGCTTAAAAAGGAGGTTCTGAGTCATTGAAGCTTTACCTATTATTTGCTTGAGAGGTTTCTAGTACAGCCAAACCAAAAATAAAGAGAGGAAAAAAAACCCTCTGTAGGAATGTGCTGGAGAAAGCAAGCTGGGAAAGACAGATGTTGATTTCTCTTCTACCCACAGGAATCTTATTCCAGGTTTATTACTGAATTCTGCTTCTCTAAACTCGTGTGCCAAAAGTGCTGACACACATTTAAACCCAGAGAGCAACCATGTACTCCGTGAAACAATACTGAATACATTTGGAAAGCAGTGAAAATGATGCTGCAACCTACTCCCTGGGATTAAGCTACCCTTCAACTTGTAGTTCATCTCTGATTTTTGAAAGTTTTGAAAGAAGATAGCTTGAACTAAAGGTATGTCCTGAATTAGCTTGGGAGGACAAAACTGAAAGCATGTGTTCCTATAGTTCCCATTGATTATTGGAAAGGATCAAGCCAATGATTTCAAAAGCAATTAGTGTTCCTCAACTTTGGGATGTCTAACTTGGGAAGTGTTAAAGGGCTTCATTGTCATAGGGCCAGTGGTCAGCACCTCCTCATTTCATTCCTTTTAGGATATCCTCAGTTAGGTATTGACAATCTAAGACACCCACATTTGATAGTGATGTTTGAAAATCTTGGTCTCAGTTTTTGAAACATTCCACAGTGCAAAAGCTACAAACACAGTTGAAGAGAACTTAGGGGATTTCAGGGAGTCCTTTCTTCAAGATTTGCCTCTAAATGAAAAGGAAGGTTGGGCTGATTTCCTTGATAATGAAGCAGTTCACCTTCCCATACATCCTGCTAAACTTGCACTGCCAGAGGTGGTGCAAGCACCTACTCTGGATTCCTTTAAGAGTCAATTGGACGTTTATCTTGCTGGGATCCTGTCACGCCAGCTGACTTCCTGCCCCTGGAGCAGGGGGCTGGACTTGATGATCTTCCAAGGTCTCTTCCAGCCCTAACGTCTATGAAATCTATGAAATATACTTCTCAAGAGCTCTTATTTACACAGATTTTCTGATATTTTCAATACAATTTCTAAGGACGGGGTAATTCCTGGACATCCTACAGGTTCTTCAAGCCTACTGCTCTTCTTTTTGTCAAGCTGAGTCATACAAAACTGTCAATATAGATTTCCAGGAAGTGACACAAAACTTTCCAGGAAAGTGCATGCAAGCTACTTATTGGCCATGTGATTGTGCTTCTACTTTGCTACAATGGGCATCATCAGTTACTCACCATCTTCTCCGCAAGTCCCTACACCCTCCATCAACTGGACTTACTAAAAGCTAAGAGGGGCAATTTGTGGACATTCTTTGTTGATGTGTTGACAACACATTGAACCATGGATTGTATTAGTGACCACTATAGTAGACCACCCAGTGATAGGATCCGCAACAGTAATTAAAATGGGAAAGTATTTCCCCATTTGCAGGCCCATAAGCTGAAAAGTGTGGCAAAATAAATATTGCAGAAGAGATACTGGAGATTGCATAAGGCAGCTATACCTTTTCTCTTAAATGTAATAAATGTTTGGGGGAAAGGTCTCAAAATGCAAAGATTCACCATTCTGACTTAGTAGTATTTTAGGAGTGCACAGATCTTTTGTCATCAGTTATATGGGGGAAATAATGCCAGTTATAACGCTGTCAGTGACTACATGGAAGGTACATTTTCCAGGAGAGATTAACAGGGAACTTAGTTGTGATAAAATCTGCTGTATTACACAATCTGTCCTTTGTAAACTACAGACTTGTATCCATTAGCAATAAACCCAAGCAATACCATTTTGGAAGAAAGGTGCAGTTTAGGAGGTCCTAGCAACTATATTCAGATCTTGGTCTGGAGCAGTTTTAAGGTCCAGTTCTAATAACTGCAGCATAATGGAAAACATTAATAATACCTTCATGCTTCCCCTGCTAACATGTACCACAGCATACTTTATGTCAACCCTGTATGTTTACAGCTGAAGTTGCAGTTCAGACTGTGCACACCACATGGTGAAGGCGATAGGGCAGCAGAAGGTTGGGGAGTATGGCAGGCAATCTGGATGGGGGCAGGGAAAACAAGCAGCACATGGAGGCTAGGAGCCCTTCCCCACTTTGCCTCTTTTCCCCCTGGTCTTTACAGAGCAGATACCTGGCAATCAGGGAAGGCAGGGAGCAGACTTGGCAGCTCCTAGCCACAACCCAGCTCACCAGCCCTGTAGCAGGAGGTCTGAGCTGTGCTATAGAGACAGTATTAACCCTTAACATGTGACAGCTCATGTCACATACTAACTTTAATACTGCCTAACATTCCTTAGGGTTAGCACATGCAAATTGTATGTGTAGCTAGCTACACCTTTACTCAACTTTGATCCCTTTTAAATAATGCATTTGAGTTAGAAATACAGCTAATATCCTTCAGATCAACTAATTTTTGATGTACTGATGAAGGGCAATTTCTTGCCAGTTTAAAAACCAGTTGTGATATTTTTATTTAACAAATTTGTTGAAGAGGTGACTTTTTCCTTGACATGACTTTGCCACATCACCATGCTGAGAAGTATATGGGACCTTTCCTAACCTTCACTGCTTACTGATTCAGATACTTATAATTTGATACCAGTGAAGTGCATCACTAGAGAACAGAGGCACAGACATAAAACCATTGATTTATGCCTTCGGGCCACATGAACTGAAATCATTCCCTGTGTCCCTCTTTTTATTCTTTCATGTGCAAGGATTATTTAAGAACACCTTGTGCCTTAAAACTCCATCCCTTGCAGGGTTTTCCTGCTGGGTATGATCCACTGAATAACCTTCAGTTCCTAGAACAAGACACTTGCTTCTGCTGAGATATACTGAAAAAGGCAGGTGTTATATAAAATTTGTGCCCCAGGGATCCAAATAGAAATTTCAGTAGAAAAAGTCTAGGTTTATTATGATATTTTTTTCAGTTTCTCTTAAAAAAATTGAAATCCCAATTACTGAAACTTTGTATGCTTTCAGCCACCAAAAACTGATTATTTTTCCAGATTTTATTTTTTTCCAGGTTTTACCCTAAGCTGCTTGTACTTTTTGATTGCACTTTTGCCTATTCATCTGCTGTCTGTAGTTTAGTGGAGTTAAGCTTTAATGATCTCATGCAGCTGTTTTGGGACATACCACTGGATAGCGGAGAATCCCAATTTTCTTGAATCATTAAACCCTTCTTAGAGAAAAAACATTCGCAGTTCTTGCATCATCAGAAGCAAAATTTGGCAGGTCCAGTAAAAAAACTTGCATTCAGTATCACAGTGTATTTGTTCTATAGGTAAAAATGCTTTAGTATTTTACTGAGCAAGATTAGTTTGACTTACCAATGTCACCATTACATAAGAGGAGAGGTAACATGGAAGAGGCCTCCGTTGCTTTTCATTATGGTCTAATAAATCATTGAAGCCTGCAATTGCACACCTAATTTCATCAGTACCCGATTTCATATATTGTGAGATAGTGGGGGATTAAGGTAGTACCCTGAGAAGGAAAATATATTCACAAAATGTTATCTTCCTTCTTTGCATAACAGCAGTCTAGAATTCCCCTTGTCTGCCTCTTTTGAACTCCTTACACATTATCTTGTCCACCTATGGTTTGAACCATGCATGTATATATGGCGGTGTTGTGCCAAATAACACTGCACTGAGCTTCTTCATGTTTATCACACCTCATTGTACCTGCAAACTTGTTCCAAAATCTCATCTTTCAGGAGTATGGGCTAAAGGCTAAAAAGCCAATGCTCTAATGCTAGAGTTCTGAGGCTCCATGTTTACAACTTCAGGTCTAATTCAGTGACATGTTTGCACCAGCCAATAAAAAAAACAACAAACAACCTAAAAGACTGAGACAAGAATGATGCTGATTTCTGGTCTGATCCACACCCAGCAGCCTAGAGCACCAGCTTCTGAAATGGAGGCTGACTCTTCTCCTCAGCAGTCACCTACCACATAACAATGACAGCAGCCAGTTATTTAGCTGTCTGAAATAGCTGTTAAGTGAGAGCACTCTCCATGCTGTCTGTCAGGAAAGCTTCTAAAGCTCTTGGGATGGACCCTGGGTCCTGCTGAGATAAACCCACAACTTGTTATTAGTCAGTAGATCCAAAATGATTGCTTGTTACTTACCTCTAGAAAAGTCTGAATGAGAAAAGTGTAGATCAAAGCAAGTCTCTAATCTGAATGATTTAATAAGACAATGGCACCATTTTGTACCCACTGTGCACAGCATCTCGTTTTGCAATTATTTTCTTCAGCGAGATTTTTTTTTTCTGATTGCTTTGCTGCGGTGACAATTTTAGTGCCTGGAAAGGCAGGACATCAAGTGTCCTGCTGTTTCAGCACACCCCAGGAAACTCTTTGCAGCAAGACTCCAGAACGGCAAGGGTTGTCAGCATGTCTCTAATATGTCAATATCCACAGTAGCATTGGGTGTGGTGCAGGGAGGGGGGACATCACCATAGCAGATTGTCTGGTGAAGAAGTACTGTTTCATTAATGGGTATCAAATTGCTATGATAACTAAAGCAAATTAAGGGTTTTAGCACAAGGCCTCTCCATTGCTGAATAAATCTAATTTCACATTAAAAAAAAGTGTGTTAATTAATTATTGAAATCATATAATGTATATTGAAATGAATCTACAGGCATAGCGTTGTCTCTCCATGGAGACAACTGCTAGCTCTTCTAGGCACCTGCGTGGATCCCATTTTACATTTGCTCTCACTCATCACTAAGGTATGGCTTTCTAATGGCTAGTCCATCCTATAACGAGGCCTAGAAACAGAAACCCCTAGAACCCATCTGTACTGCTCCTGAGAAGGCAAGAGGTTACAAGAAATAGATAAAAAACATTCCTTCTGCCCTGAGATGTCTGCTTCACAATAATTTTTTATATTTAATTTAATTAACAAGATAAACTTTTTCCAGTAGACTTGGAGGGAAGTCTGATCTTGAGGTTAAAGCATTGGACAATCTCTGGCGATAAAGGGTGGGATTTTCTGTAGCATGAATGTCCCACATCTGAAAATCCCACTAGTGGGTTCATGTTTCACCCCTTTCATAGACTTCTCATGGTTCCTTGGGTATCATCTTGTTGGGCCTCAGCTTCCTGTCTGTGAATTGGGAATACTGCTTCCCTACCTCAGTTAGGTATGAAACTAGATTCAGGTTGCAAATCACAACCCAGATATCCATTAAGAAAAAACTAAACAGTTTCTAGAGAGCCCTTGGGCCTCCTGCTTTTGTGGCTCCTGAGGCTTATTTTTCCTTCATTCCATGCCTATCAAGTAAAGTGTTGTAATATAACTCTTCAGAGGGACCACAGTGAGATGAGCAGGGAAACCCCAACCTTCTCTCACAACTACTGACTCTTTGGATACAGCAGATTTAGCACCCTGTATTTGGACAAAGCAAACAGACTGTGACTTTTCAAAAGGAGGAAAGTAGCTTTTCCATTCTGAAGTCACTATTTTTTTATCTCTCTACTTTCTTATTAGACCCTGGAATCAACATGAAGAGGTTACCAGAGTATATGCCTAACTTTAAGCACATGAGTAGCACAGTTGACTTTACAGTGCTCAGAACTGACCATGTGCTTGTGTGTCAAAAGATAATGCAACAAGCTGACCAGGAAAGGTGTGGTATCTCCATTGCTGGAGATTTTCATAGAGAAGCTAGACAGTCATCTGTTTGGGATGGTTCAGAGAAGCATATCTTGCATCTGTGCAGGGGATTTGGACTAGATGGGTGCATCCAGACAAGCACGTATGTGTAGTACGTGGTGCCTCAGACCCCTCTGTGGTGCCACATGCTACACATGCAGGTGTTCCCCATGCTGTTAATTTGCAGCATGCGGGTGTTTTTTGACACCGGGAGAAGCTGGTGTCAAAAAAATCCACAGCAGAAAAAAAGAGGGGTGGTGCACATAGCAGCAGCATGCACCACCCAAAACGAGCCTACCTGACCGGAGCCATACTCTGGCTGCTGGGAGGCTCCCTACTGCTGGGTCACCATTGCTGGAGCCCTGGGAGGCCCCCAGAACCCCAGGTAAGGCTGCTTGGCCAACCCAGGTGCTGGCCCCACCCTCACCTACCCCACATGGAGCCACTCGCCGTGCACCAGTGATCCCCAGGGACAAGTAGCAGTGGCACATATTGTACTGTTGCTGTTTGTCCCCAGGGAAATGCACGTGCTTGCATGTCTGGATAAAGCTGATGACTCTTAAGGACCCCTTCCAGCCCTAGGATTCCAGGATTCATGCTGAGACAGGGTCTATGCTTTTCATTCCCTTCCTATTTCCCACTGATATCTTTAAAAGTTTGTGCCCTCAGCTAGCTGGGATTTGTTGTTTTATTTCTACTTAGATCTAACACAACAATGGTATACTTTTTGTTTGGTCCCCATTCCATTTTTGGTTCAAGAACTATGTATATAGTCTAGAAGAATGGGCATTAAAGGAGGAATAAGAGATACCTGCCTCAGGCACTGCCCCTCATTTAAATCCCACTTGTAGGTCATGGGTAAATGAAGCTTGGGTAGTGAGCAGGAGGTACCAGAAGTTCAGAAAGCTCATAGGAGAAATTTAGCACATAGCACAAGTAAGCCCTAAAGAAATAAGCTGTTCTTACGTTTACAGGCCTCGGCATGTGCTGTAATCCAGTTAAACTGAGAAGGATCTGTCACGTCAGTAAGTATTTGTCCTTCATTCTTGTAGAACAAGCCTGCATAAACACCCATTGTTCAGACTTTGCAACCTGAAACAACATTTGTGAACCAGAGACAAGTTTCATTCCTGAGCCATAATTAATAACAAGAAAAACTATATTTACGTAAAAACTGAAAACCTTCAGTGGGTAGTAAGGATTCTCTAAAAAAATATTTGATGTGAAGTAACATTATGTAACAACTTTGTTACAGTTGAGAAAAATAATTAAAAAAAACCTTGTATTTTGTTTTAATAGCTTCAAAAGAGACTAAATCCAGCACAGCCCACGTGTTGGATTCATCCACTGGCTTTGTCTCATCTTTTAACTGTTTAAACCATAAGGTCTTTGGGACAAGAACTGACATTTACTCTTGTCTCTAGTACAGATCACAATGGAGCACTGAGCAATATGAGCCCTACAGATGTTACTGCAGTCTGAATAAGCAATGCAGGAAATACCTACTGGTATTTATATTGTTAATGTGCTGCATGATGATAAGAGGTTTCAAAGAAATGTGTCAAAGGCAATCACTGCTCTTAAAAAGATGACAAATGCAATTATTTCACATCCAGATCAGATGAAAGAATTTGTAACTTGGGAAGTAAAAAGTCAAAGACATCTTTCCTTCTATAAAAACTGTGGAATTTTTATTTCAAATATTGCTTAAATAATATTAACTGACTCATTGTTACTTGGAATATAGTTAGTGTGATCTGTTTGAGAACTTCAGCTAATTCTATAACAATGATACACCAATTTATTTATTACCACTAAGTTTTTATTTTGTTTTGTTTTTTTTACTTTTCTTGCAATATTTTAAACTGGCCAGAACAAACAATGGATTTTTCCCTCCTCTTTACCTTTGTAACTCTCAAAACTATTCTGACTCAAAAGTAAAAAAAGCTGCTTCTCAAATTAACAAAACTTGTAAAAACAAGACTTTCAAAAATGGTTGCCTAAAATTAGGTGTTGTAGTACAGATTTAGGAGATTAAGTAAATGCCTTGATTTTCAGAAATACCAAATACCAAGTAGTTACCACTGAAGTCAATGCAATTACTTGGGATTCCCAACAGCTGAGACCTGGCTTATATGTCAAAATTGTACCAATTTAACTAAATCAATTTCTAAAATTATTTAGTTAAATCAGTGCAACCCCCTTGTGTGGATGGACTCTCTTTAACTCAGTTTGGTACTAAGTGAAATCAAGATCAGTCACTCTGAAACTAATTTATGAGGCCCTACACAAGGGGAATGCACCAATTTAAGTAAATTGATTTAACAACTTATTTAGCAAATGGATGCAATTTATGTGTGTAGACAGACTCTCAGGCGTGACACAAACCCACTAGAGTTTCAGTTTACATCCCTGTCAGGAAAACACCCCTGCATATTAATAGACTAAGCAAATCTTGAAGAACATTTAGGAAGAAAAGAAGTGGCATAGGGTAAAGAAGCTATCAGGTCCAAAATCAAAACTGTTGGATAAGACAGATAAGAAGTTTTAAGGTTAGAGCTGTAAGGTCCTTACGTTCTGCTCACAGTGTCTCTCTTGAGCCTGAGTCTGACAGACACAGTGTGTGGTATCCAGGAAAAACATACCACTGTTTCTCCATTGGATTGAAGTTGCTAAGATTCAGCTCTATTCAGATCAGTGCTGCGGGGCAGGAGCAGAGTAGAGGAGAAGACACAGGCCAGTGGGAGCTATCACAGCTGCTCAGTTTTTTTCCTCGAACAAGCCACCAGCACAGGTGTGTGCTGGTGTATGCTTGCCATGTACTGTGTAACGGCACACAAAGGGGTGCTGGCTATCTCATGGAATGGGGATGGACAGCAAATGCCCCTTCCCTGCTTGTCATATAAGGGCTAGATTTGCAGAAGTGGTCTACAGGCACAACGGCCCAGGGAGGCAGCACTGAAACTCAGGAGTTCACAACCATGCAAACCCCTGCTGTGAATAAGGGTGATATTGGATGAAACCACTGGCCAAACACTCCAGAGATCTGGGTTCTAGCCCTGATCCTGCTTGTATGGCCTTGGTTCAGTCACTCAGTCAAACTGTGTCTTAGTTTAAAAATAAAGATAAAAGATCCTCCCTTGCCTGACAGTGGTGCAGTGAGGCTGCATTAACTGATATTTGTGAAGTGCCCAGCTTCACTGCTGATGGGGCCTGCTAGGGAATGCCATCATAGAGAACAGTCTGGTTGTCCTCTATTGATACGAAACCAGACGCCTTTATAAGAGAAAAATAGAGGACATAAAGGCATTGGGTTTTGTATCAATAGAGGGCAGAGTAGCAGAAAACTGGAATGTCCCCTATGATGGCCACCCTAGTCAACACCAAGACAGACCATGTTTCTCGGGGGGTGGGGAGACAGCTGCTTACCCTGAGAGGCAATGTGAATGTTAAGGAAATCCCTGCTAAATACATGAAAACAGGAAGATAAATATTTGGCCATCTGTTCGCAACAGCTACCTGAAGATGAAATAAACTGAGGTAATTATGTCTTATGACTGATGCTGCCAGGCCTAAGCATCTTTGCCAGGAAGAGTCACTCACAACAGCATTCAAGTATCACTTGTAGCTGTAGATGCCGTGCTTGCAAGTGTTGCTTTTCTAATGCCATGCAGAGTTGCGCGATTGGTTTTAACTGGGTATGGCCAGCAGCTGCATCATGTACTGCTTTAAAGTTGACACTCATTTAAATTAACCAGTCATTGTAAGTAATCCCTGCATTCGAGGATGATCTCTGCCGCAGCTCATTGATGAGTCTTGAGAAGACTTAAGAGTTCAGACTCAGAGCCACAGATCTGTTGATAGAATTTTCAGGTATTTCCGCAGGGGAGAGTAGGCTGCAGACTGGGATTCCTTTCCTTTTCCTTCCTCCACTCTCGCTTCTCTATTAACCAATTAAATTAATTAGCTGACACAAAACAGCTTTGAGCTGTATGCAGTTATTGTCTTGACCAGATGAGGTCTTCCTTTTATTATGCTGTGATTCATAGAGCAAGTACGAATGTTGTGCTACAAGCACATTATACATGGTAAATAGCTCTGGTTCTGATGCTATCATTTTATCCATTTAAGATTTTTTTTAGACATCTTTTAATGTAAACCAGGTGCTAGAAGTGTGTTCTCTTACAAAGGAGCAGTGAATGATGGAGGCTGAATTTTCAAAGGATCTTAACAAAGCTAGATGCTTATAACCCATTGACTTTCAATAAGAATTAGGCACCTAACATCAGATCTTCAGCTGGTGGAAATTACACAGCACCAGTTCACATCAGCTGTGGCTTTGTTCTTGGACTCCAGTTACACTTCTGTTGAAGACTAAACAATCCAGGTCTTGGCCCTGACTGCATTTTGAATGTACTTTGTGTATCCTTGATTGTGGCTATGTAGCACCATGCTACAGCACTAGCTATTGCTCCATGCTTTTCTGATTGAGTTTCACTTTTTTTTCTTTCTTTCTTTTCTTTCACCTGGGTTCTTCTTAGGGTGGCCGTCATAGAGGACATTCCGATTTTCTGCCATAAAGACGTCGGGTTTCATATCAATAGAGGACAACCGGACTGTCTTCTATGATGGCCACCCTATTCTTCATCCAAGACAGCTTCACAATCCCTGAAAAGTCAATTAGACACTGGGATTCAACACAAAATGTTTACTTTTCTGTTTCCTTATACCAGGAAGCAAGTGAGAGATCATAAGCTGATGGGTAATAAAGCACTGTCTCGTAATCACCCCTTGATTCTGACAAGCATAATAAATTATCCAAATGACATCACTCCTGCAGATAATACTTAGGCTCCCACTCAAAAGATTACTGTGTCTGTGTGTGCATGTGCCAAAGGATAACAGCAAGAATTTCTGCCTGGTGACTCCTCTTTAGGGATGAAGTCATTGTGAGTTATGGCAATGAGCCATAACTAATAGCCAGAATCTGATGCAGCCTTTGTAACAGGAAATATTTTTGAATCTTGGCATGGCTGGACTGTCTCAAGAATTTCTTTCAAGGGTATTTGTGTTTGTTCTTTTCAGATGGAGATTGGTATCCGCACCATCACTGGTTGCCCCATAACAACCAGGATTCCAAATAGACTGCATACTTCTCAGGATCTGCACGGGTGGTAGGCTTTACAAGCACTCAGCTTGTCTAGGATCACAGGCTTGAAAGGAATCTGAAGGTTCATTTAGTCCACCCCCCTGCACAGATATAGGATTTTCTCTTCTTAAACCATCTCAGACAGATGCCTATCCACCCTCTTCTCAAAGTCATCTAAAAAGGAGATTCTACAGTCTGCTGAATGCCTGATGCTCCTCCTATCACAAGCAGATCTGTTAAGGCTTAGAAGTTCATTTCTACTGAGAATTATTTCTTTCTAAATGACATAATGGTAACTCATACCACTTAATTCACCCACCCACTGGCCTAGAGGTAACAGGACCTACCGCGTAGAGATTCACCCCAAAGGGAAAGAGGCAGCATTTGCAGGAGTGTACTCCTTCATGCTTCTTTCAGGGTAAGGCAGTTTTACTGCTCCACGGGAAACATGTCAACAGGTGGCTGTTCCTTCAAGTGGAGTCTAGCCTAGCTCCACCCATGACTGATTACTTTGCCTCCCAGCTCATGCTGTGAAACCAAGGCTCAGGGAATTGCTTGAAGACCACCTGCTCCTCCTAACAGCCAGCCAGGGCTCAGTATCTGTGAGGTACAGGAGTCTCTGGATGAAAAGAAAAAAGCTCAGTTCAGATACATGTCTTAGAAATCCAGTTCAGGCACAGCTCCTAGGTAAGTGACATCTTGAATGTAATCCATCCAGGAGCAGAATAGGACGAAATAGGTCAAAGATCTATCAGGTATTAGGGCTGCAGGGAGGAGCCTCTTGAACTTCCTGGGATAAGGGAAAAGTATATGGCTCACAAATTGAATTGTTTCAAATAGGGTCTTTTTCTTCCTACCCCTCCCCAAAATAAAAGTGGATCCCTAAAGCCAGGGGCTTGAGCCCTGTGGCTGAAGAGCATTCCAGTACATGGGCTAA